ATTAGCTTCTCAATTGTCAAACTTTAAATGTCAGAAATTGTCAGATGTGCAGATTGTCAAATATCTAAAAATTTTTAATCACTAAATACTGAAATTTTAACATTCTTGGATTGTAAAATTTTTGAACCTCCCAATTCTCAAATCTGTAAATTCTCCAGTTTCCAAATTTTCAAATGTCCAAATTCCAAAATATGCAAATTCTCAAATGTCTAAATTCCAAAATGTGCAAATTCTCAAATTTCCCAAATTCTCAAATGTCCAAATTCTCAAATTTCCCAAATTTTCAAACCCTAAATTTTCAAATCCCTAAACTCTCAAACCCCAAATTCTCAAATCTCCAAATTCTCAAATCCCCAAACTCTCAAACCCCAAATTCTTAAATCTCCAAATTCTCAAATCCCCAAACTCTCAAACTCCAAATTCTCAAATCCCTAAACTCTCAAACCCCAAATTCTCAAATCTCCAAATTCTCAAATCCCCAAACTCTCAAATCCCAAATTCTCAAACCCCAAACTCTCAAACTCCAAATTCTCAAATCCCCAAACTCTCAAATTCCCAAACTCTCAAACTCCAAATTCTCAAATCCCCAAACTCTCAAACCCCAAATTCTCAAAACCCAAATTTTCAAATACCCAAATTCTCATCCCCAAATTCTCAAATCCCCAAATTCTCAATCCTCAAATTCCCAAATCTACAACTTCTCAAATCCCCACCTGAAATAAGATACCACCCACTTATTCCATCTCCAACCCCCTCCACAACCACCAAACATCCTCCTACTCACAACCCAACAACAAACCCTAAATATCCCCAAATCAAACCTCCATATAAAAAAATTAATTAACTGTCCCTTCTGCCCATAACCTCGTCAGTAAAAAAAAACAGACTCAAACGAAGCGCAAAACACCGTGAAACACGCGTCTCAATAGAAGAATCTACCGACAACAGAAAAAAACTCGTCGCTAACGAAGTGTTGCCGGCGGTTCGGTTCGCAACGAGGGAAAAGCGAATTACCGATGGAAATCGGCGTAATTAAGCAGGGGAATCCGTCTACGGGGTCGTAATTTCATCTTGAAAATTGCAGGAAGATTGCGAATTTCGGTAGCACCGTGTCTCTCTCCCCTGGTTATGAGAGGAATCGAATTATCCGTATCGTAATCGAGAGAACGACGATTTCCCCGGCGACAATTAAGGATAACGCAAATATCCCCGGGTACACGTTGTTAAGGCACGCCTCCAAATATTCCGGTAATGAAGAATAATGCACGAGGCTAAAACAAACTCGAGTTCTCGAGAGCCGTTTAAACCTCCAAGACGTTCGCTGCCACCTCTCTTCGTCCTACGTTCCGTTTTTCCTACCCCCTGAACGCCGCCACCTTCCGAAGGATACACCGACACGTACACACATACCAGAAGGTGTAGCGTGCCGTTACGACCCGGCAGAAGCTTCTCTCTTAGCCAAGCATTTAAACGGTCCACGCAATTAGGGAAGGCGCTTCGCGCCTCATCTTTTATTCATGACGACTACGGACCGCGCCTTGCTTTCGACCCCCTCCAAAAATTAAAACCGAAGCACACCGATGCTGAGATACAAGTTAAACATATTAAATGTCCGGCTTTTGCACCTTTGATCGGGTATCCCCTCTTGGCGAGTTTTGTAACGTGACTCCACATGACAGCAACGATTTTTGCTAAGTTTACCTGATTGACTTATTGAGTTTTACTTAATTGTTTTTGTTATTCTGTATGATTGTCTTACTGATTTTTAATTTACTGGTCTTTGTTATACTGAATGATTGTTACTGATTTTTAGTTGACTGCTTTTGTTATTCTGAATAATTACTTTTACTGTCTTGAATGAGATTTGTAGAGGGTATCTCACAACTAGTGTAGGTCCTTGAAATGGGGGGTAGCTGACATGAATCTGAATAAGATTTCCCTCTGCAAAAATGCGTCCCAGTGTTGAAGCTTCGTTTTTGAATTATTAAGGAAAAACACGGACCAATCAGAGCGCGAGGATTACGTATGTGCAGACGCGAGAGCGACAGCTTCGGATAACGCGTAGTTATCCAACGCGTGCATAATCTACGCGTAGTAATTCAACGCGTAATAATGCAACGCGTGGTAATTCTAAGAGTAGGAATCTAATGCGTGGTAATCTAACGCGTAGTAAT